TTCGTGGAAACAGCAGCATCTGTGTGATAGAGTAACTCTTTTATTATACATTACAGTGTACAGACTAGACTATATACGTTACAGTTCCAGTGTCTGCAATGGGAAACCTGCACTTCACAGCACTGTGCCTTGTGCAGCCCGTGCTGTGTGATCACTTCGTACTGATGTCAGTCTGCATTATTGACTAAGTACTTGACTGTTCACTCCCAAATGTTCCTGGAAGCGCAGTCAAACCTTTTCATACTTCTGTTTGCACTCGTATCACTGGGTTTTGAGCAGAGCATTGTCTCCTTCTTTCCCGGGAAAGAGCTGTGTGAGATTAAAGCCAGACTAAATTCTAGAAATTTATCAAAGAAAAACAGCTTTTGCCTTGGGTGATTAAATAGTATAACTAGTATTCCAGCTAATGCTAGTTATGCTTTTAATAAAATGCATAGGAGAATGAACAGCAGCAGAAGTGCTGAAACACTGGGAAACAGTCAGTCTTGTTTTCACACAATCTCAACTCAAACCCTTCTTTTCAGAGACTTGGTATATTCTAGATATAATCTCCAGAAATATCTGGAAACGTAGTAGAAGCTTATACATTGAATGTTCTTCAACAGAGACAAAAATAGTACTACATCTAGTAACTTCAGCTTAACTCTGAATGCCAAATATCTAGCATTTTAGTATTGCTTTTCCTAACATTCAAAAAAAACCCACCCAAACCCCACCAAATCGAGTATCTTTTTTTCCTGGATTAGCTTTTTTTAGGTTTAAATTATTTGAGACTCGTATGAGCACTAGCACAGGAGCAAGGAAAGAGGCAGGAATGCACAGCAGGAGGGAGAGTAGAAAACTTAATAATTTAAGCTGTTATGGGATCATATTTACTGAAAATCCTACTCCATTATTTAAAGCAACCGTTTCTGTTACATTTAAAACCCTTTAAGGTTACTATGGTCCCTAAGCTTTGCAAATGTGACCTTTATACATATGAAGACCTGGTATTACAGCTACTACACTGTACTGCATACTGTAGTTACACTGTATTTGGCAATCCTTATATTTTTAGATTAAATTTTTTGTTCAAGTACCATCTTTTTGAGGCTTTGTTGTTTGTACTAATAAATTCATTTACTTGGCTTCCTTTATCAAAACTACCTTTGGCATACATTGTTACAGGGAAAAAAAAGAAAATTAAAAATCCTGCTCATAACTTTGGAAAAGTGAATGTATTGCTATAGCATGGTAAAAGTGTTACTACTTTCCAAGAATGAACATTTAATTGGATATAATATTCACATCCTTTAGAAATGTGTATGTGCCCCCCCTCAAACTTCTACGGGAACTCTGTAACATAAATACACACAAAACACAAGGATGTCAACCTTCCCACTCCGTTCCTCACCTGCAATACTCTGTATAATGCCACCAGCTAAAGAAACTTCCCTTGTAAGCTTTTCTTCATTTCAGAGTCTGTGTTGCAAGTATCCTTGATATGATTCTTAGGATAACTGTTAGCCAAATACTGCATGTTTACTCTCTTGTTGTACAAGCAGCTGCCAGATGGTAATACGGGGGAAAATACATTTAACGTCAGTCACCTAACTGGAAGCCAGATGGCACAGCAGAAGCTGGAACAAGATGTTTGCCAACTCATTCTGGCTTCCAGCTGTGGTCCCATCTTCCACCATAACCATGTGGACAACGGCCTCTTGTCACTGTAATGCTGCCTTCATAGCACTGCTGGCCACGCTGGGGGCTCATTCAAAAACCTGAGTTGATGGCATTCCCTTGTCCCTTTTCCCCAAAAGTTGCACTGAAGAACAATCAGAAATGGGTGTGTAAAAGTCAGCGGGGCAGATAGTTCTTTGCTGGCTGCTTGTCTGTTGTGGTGAAGCTGGACTTTGTGGATCCCTTCCTGAAGGGGAGGGAAAGTCACTGGAAGTAACTTATATGGATGTTCTAGTTTTTTTGTTGTGTGTGGGTTTTTTTGTTTTTTTTTTTTTTTTTTAATTCATCAGGATTGTAGTCAGTTTGCTGCTTTGAATTCAGTAGGAGGGGATATCTTGCTCTGAATCAGAGGCAATTCTTCAGTTGGTGGTGTAAAGCTGGACGAGTATCTGGCCCTTAGGGCTTGGGAGCTTGTGCAACACTTCTGGAGCATTCCAGTTTACCCAGTTCTCCTGAACAATCTTTTCAAAGACTATAACTTGTCTGGCTGATATATCTGGCAAAGGTGTATGGCTTAGTCTTTGCTGTGTGAGAAAAGTAAACAGGCTGTCTAATGAAATGCTCAAGCTACAGTGGATGCTGCTTCCGTGTCTTCCTCATGAGAAGTTATGGGATACAGTAACAGCATTGCTTATTGCCATTTGGGAGATGATAATAATTTATAACTCAGACTGTTATGAGGCTATAAAGCAGGGTGAATTGGGTGTTTGGAATTCAGCTTAGCAATAACCAAATATAATGTATTTATGGTAGGTGGCTTTCAACAAGGTAGAGAGAAACAAGTTGGCTTGTTATGCCTTTTGAAGGAAAATTATTGTACCATCAGGTCATTTATATAGTCACGATGGGATGACATAAATAGTTTAGAAGCTGCCAACAAAGCACTGTTTCCAAACAAAGCTCTTAACCTTTGGAAAATAACAATCAGTGACCAGCCAAATTGTCTTCAAAAGCAAACAAATAAACTCTGAGTCCTTTAGGATACTGGCAAATCTCCACATACCCTAGAATTGCTTATCTCCTCATTTCAATGTTTTTTTATAGAAAAGTACCACTACAATGACCATATCTGATTTTTTTGACAATGCAAGCCACAGGATGTCCTGAGCTGGCCAGTGTCTGAATGTAGAACATAACTTTTATGAAAAACTCTGTCACTGCTAAAACCTTCCACTAACAGTTTCCATTATACTTGGAAATAGGCTTAACATTTATTTGTTAACATTTGGATTCGGTTGTGATTTATTTTTATATAATTCTTGACATGGTTGGATATGTTTGTATCTTTGTGTAGCCTTTTTTATCAAATCTGTTTTCCATGAACTTCGATCCAGCTGTATATTCCTTTAATAAACCAAAATGACCGAGATCCTTTTGTCCTTCACTATTAATTGTTTTTCAATCTTAATCTTCCCTAAAGCACTTCTTCAAGCCCTTTTTAAGCTTTCATCAGACTTATTCAGCTGTGGATACCATACATTTCCATATTTTAGTGAGATAGAAAAGTCCTGTAAAAAATTTGTAGGGAGAAGTTAGGCCTGTAGAGGCAGGGAAAACTGACAGAAGTGGAGAAGGAACAGAAGGGTACTGTTTAGCATTTTGTTTCTTCAACTCCATGTAAAGGCTAGCAGCAAACCTGTGGCTGAGAGTGGTACTCACTTAAGACATTAATCATCTGTGCTTGCCTGTATGACCCAAGTACAGCTACGCTTACTCTCTGATTTGTGGTGGAATTGAGAAGGCCTCAGAGAATGAGGCCTTCACTAGAAGCCATCCCAACTGCATTATGACTTTTTTTAATACCACAGTTTTGGAAGTACTTGACTCATGGGAGTTGTGCTTTATGATGGCACTTCTGCTTATTTGTTATTTTTTTGAGATGCTCTGCTGGAGTTCAGGACTGCTTTTTTGGGTTGGATATGGATGAAAGAACATTGTTCTGATCACATCACTTTCCTCTGAAGGGAAGAAAAAACAACCTTACAAAATAAAAACAAAAGCGTGTTGGTATTTGCCCTCCATCTCCTGAACCCAGATGAGTTCAAGTCCTGACATGTATCAAACTCAACCCAGTGGTAAAGCTGCCAAGCATGAATTTATGAAGGAATACAACAGTTTTTGTCGCCTTAGAAGTGCTGTGACAATCTTGTGCCAAAACACTGTTGTTCTAATACAATTTGGAGATTTGACAGTGTCAAAGTACTCATAATTTCTCAGGAATATGTCTACAATGGGAGAAGAATGGCAATCCTGTGTGATAATCATTGAAAAGAAAAATGCTAAAATAATAGTTTCACAGATAACAGGCCCTCTTGCAGGAGTGCCTCTTGTTTTTTTTCAGGCTAAAGACTGGATTGAATGATATAATTCAATTTTACCCACTTCAATCTTCCATGATCTTCAGACTGTATTTCAATTGTTAGATTTTTTAATTTTTTTTAAAAGCTTCAAGCAAAACTCGTGCTTCTCCTTTCAGGCCAGCTATTAGCGCTTTTTGTTTAGGCATTTGTTTTCAGTTACTTTGCATGAATTCAAGCACTGATTCTGTATTCCTACTGCACATAAAGCCCATTAACTCAATGGAAATTTAGGACTGGGACCGCTAAGCTTATTTGAAAATAAAAAAAAGGAACATAAAATTTTCTGTTGACTCCTGCAACCTTACCTCAAACTCCCAAGAGCCGTAACATGTATTCTCTACAAATGTACAGGATGTGGTATGCTTCTTTCTCAAACTTTTGCCTAGGAAAACTGCTCTTAATTAAACTGGAACATACTCCAGGAACTTAATTTAAGCAATTAGTCCCACAGGACTGAGCTCAGGTGAACCGGTAAACACCTGTTTCAGCTACAAAAATGTTTCCACTGACTAATTAGTCCCTTTTTATGAGATGGAGGCAGTTTTCTCCTCCATTCTCCTGTTGTTTTCCTTCCATTTAAGAAGATGAGCGCCTTCGAGCCAGAAAGGTCGCAGCTTCCAGCGGGGAGGACCCTGAGGGGACACGGAGGCCCACCCTGGAAATCTCCACAAACCTCCTCGCGGTCCCCGCCGGGGCCGCTCCCGCGCTAGGAAAATGCGTGAGAAGCTTCGCCCCGACGCCAAGACAGCACCCCTCGGGACCTCCGGGGGCGAGAGGGCGAAGCGTGAGTAACGTTAAATTAAATTAAATTAAATTAAATAGCCGCCGGAGCATCGGGGGACGGGGGGTGTCGGTTCCCGCCGCTGACCAGCCCCGCGGCGGCGGGCGCCTCTTCTCGCGAGAGGAGGCGGCCGGCAACGGCAGGACGCGGCGGCAGCGGCCATGGAGGAGGAGGAGGAGGCGGCGGCGGGGACGGGCTCTGAGGCGTCCTTCTGCCTGCAGAGTATCCTTCCTCCTCCTCATCCTCCTCCTCGCCTGAGGCGGGGGGTGCGGGGGACCGTCTCCTCAGCGTGAGGGGTTGGGAGCGGGGGGGAAGGGGGGGAAAAGAAGCCCGCAAAGCCCAGCACCTTGTTGCTTGGTTCTGTGGGTTATTGCCCCTGGAGGCTAAAAAGCGGCAATGTGCGGTGGGTTTTGTTTATTCCCTGCAAAGGCAGTAGGGTCTTCCTCACTTCAGCGTGGTGTTTGTTTTCCTTGCTGATGGCAAGAGGCCTTCAGTGACCCGGAGGAAAAGCAGGGTCATTTAGTCCTCCCCTGCTGATGGGGCAGTGTAAGCAAAGAGTTAAAATTCTGAAATGAAAGACTATTGTCGCCTCTCTTGCGCTAGTTGGTGATCATGAAACTAAAATACGGAGGGGTGATGACTTGATACTTAGACGGTCCCAATATACTTCTGTAAAAGGGGCTCTAATTTCCCGGTGCCTGCCGCACAGAGTAACTGGCTAGATATTCGTGGTTTTGTTTAGTACTGTGTCTAAGCAACTTATAAAGATGATACAATAACCTAGACATAATTTTATTTCAAGTGGCTTTTAGAGGAAAAAAAAAATCGAGTTCTTCTCACAATTGAGTTGTATCAAATTATGTTAGGAGTTTATGGCTTTTAGTTGTGTAGTATTTGCTCAGACCATGCAAATTCTAGTTTTGTCATTAGATCAGACTAGCTCTTACCTATTGTTTAGTTGTGAGCTGCCAAATCAAGATCTTTCAGCTTTATTTTAGAGGCAAAAAAATCAGAGCCCAAGTGTTAGGCTCTACCAGTACTTTAGTTTTTACTGCCTTGCTAGTATTAAGATGTAAGCCAATATAAAAATTAAAAAGAAGTGGAAGTTGTCTTTTGCAAGCTTGTGCCTCAGTTTCTACCTTCCTGAAACTGCACAGCTGTTTTCACACCATGTGATATGCTTAAAAAAGCACTGCATCAGGACATCTGTTGGGACAAAAAAAAAAAGAAAGTGTTGGGAAAATACAGCAGTTCAAACAAACCAATTCCTGCATTTTATTGTGCACCTGAGTTTTGCAGAAAAGAAAAAAATCTGTATTTTTAGTATGTTAGTCTGTGCATGGTATTTACAATCATGTGTTAGTTTAGACCATAGTAGATCACAAGGACGGTCAGGTCAGTAGAAAATTCAGGAAAAAACCCACAGTGTTTGAAAGTATTTTACTTATCAAGGGTAGTGACCTTTCTATCTGCATTGAAAGGTATGATAAATGCAGAAAGAAGTAGTTGAGATGTTGGGGCAGGATTATTCAGAAGATAGCTCCAGAAAAAGCAGTCCCTGATCAAATCACTAGGCATGACGCGATGAATTGCTGGGGACAGTATTTATTTAAATATACTTTAAGTTGATAAATACTGTGATATAAAATAATGAAGAGGTTTAGGGATTTTAGAAACGTGTGCAGGTACTTGGTTCATATGTAGAATTACTACATATATATATAGAAATTGTCCCCTGCTTACTAAAAAAAACGTTGTACCCAAGTATTCACCCTATACAAACACAACCACACTTGTAAGACTCTCATTCTTTAAAGAGAGTATGTATAGTCAGCTAGCTAGCTAGCTAGTGCTAGGGTATCTTAACCTAATTTTAGAAAAGGGTTTTTTTAGAACTTTACCCTAACTAGTCAGCCAGTATTACTGTGTCTTTTATCTTGACTTGGCTGCTGTGAGCATCCTTCTTGCCTTTTCAAATAAAGGAAACCTATTCTTCCTGCTTTGCAGTCATGCCTTGCCATTCACTTTTTTGTGTGTAGTCAGCAACTCAGACGAGCTTTTCTCCCTCTGAGTTGAAGGAACATTGTCCAGGATCTGGGAGCTGTTTCCCTAGGACATGGTCAGATGCTGAGGCGAGGACCGAAGCGTTCCTGTTGTACCAGGGAGCAGGCAGGTAGCTGAGGGCACCCGAGTCCCTGGTCGTTACCTCAAGTCTGTTGGGTCAGCTCTTAAAAGTCATGTCTCGGCATGAGCTATTTTCATCTCTGTTCTCTTTGCTTACCTTGGTGGTCCAGCATACGGTCCTGCAGTACCATGCGGAGACAAGATGCGTTTGTTCAACTGCACAGTTTCTTTGCCCTCCCATTGAAGTCAGAAGAGTCAATCCAGATGTCTTCTGATAGAGAACAGATTTAGGCCGATTAAATCTAATAGTCTGGGGGTTTCTTCCTTTTTTTCCTCCCTTATGAAAGAAAGCATAGTAAACATTTTTTTTTTTTGGAGATGAACCTTGCAGAAGCATAGTTCAAGTTGTAGAATTAAATGTTCCAGAATCAGTCAAGGTAGAAAATGAAGCTTTTGCAGAGAAGTGACTTCAATTCAAGTCCTGTGTTCCACACCTGCAGTCTGTGATGCAGTAATTCGGGAAGTAAACTCAGGGGCATGAGTATTGCAGGCATTTGCTTTCGTGTACTAAGCCTAGATGGGACATTCTTAAGAAGTGTTCCTGCCAGTTTCCTATTTATGTATACAATTTTTATAGTAAGCATGTACTGTTATCATGCATTTGGAGGTATGCAGATGTGCTTCAACTTGATTACTGAAAATCATGCCTTTATTCACTCAGTAACTTCCCTAGTTATTTGTTTGTTTGTTTTGTTGTTCTTGTTTACAAGAGAAAATAATACCTCTAATTTTTTTAATCTCAAGCCTCTAAAAAACAAATGGTGATTATCCCTTCTTGGGACATGATCTTCAGCTGTTAGCCTTCCAGATGGTTACAATTTAACTGATAGTTTTGTTGATGCTGTCATGCTGGGGTCTTGAATGCAATGGTAGTTTTATATATATAAATATATATTTATATATATATATATATATTACTGTGAGATCTGTAGCAAAAGGCCTGGTTTTTAGGAGAATAATTCAGATTTGTGCAACTTGATGCAAACCTGGAAAATTATGTTTGTGGGTTTTTTTTTGTCTTTTTTTTTTTTTTTTTTGTGGTTTGTTTTTTCCCTCCCCTCTGTGTATGAAGTACTGAATTGCCAGCTTTTCTTTGGAAGTTAATTTCTGGTTTACTTACATGGGTCATTTTTAGGCTAACTGATTTTCTAGGGAAACTCACAACAGAACATCTTGCTCAAAAAAAACATTTGAATTATACTTTCATGAGATGTGAGGCTAGCGGATGAAAAAATGTTCATTTGGGTTACATTTTACACCACTTGTAGTTATTTTTAATTAAAGGTTTAAAGCACTTGAAGGATCTGTAGATAATTTCCAAATCAATTTTTACATTTTGAAAGTTCCTTATCTTTTTATTGTAGTTGTGTTGTAGTTATTAAGGCATTTGTATCACCTTCAGTAAATGGTCCTCTTGTGTTCAGTGTTTGATCTCACATGTTCATGTTTGAACTCACATGTCTGAATTTTATAAATATGCCATTCTCTGAGAGCATAAAGCTAGTTATTCTTACAAGCATAAAGTCTTTGGAAGTCTCAGTGCAGTAAAACCAGTATGAAACTTGATGATTGGGCAAGTGAGAGCAGAATTTAGCTAGTTTTTAATTCAGAACTGTGCTTAACTTGTAACTTGGACAGATATGATGAGGCAAATTTTAATGGTGTTTAAACCTGCTATAAAAACTTTGAATGTAAATTTTGTCTCTGTGTACGTAATTTTCACTGGAGCTGGGCTTGTTTGCCTAAAGGTTGAAAGAAGCCTCGGAAGTGTAAAGTCTTGTGTCAAAAAAAACAAGGGTGAAGGAGGTGATAGCAGATTTGTAGATGGTTATTTTAAGTTGGAACTCATCACGTTCATCAGCTGTTTCAGACTTAACAAAATCTGCAGAATTTACCATAACAGATGACTCTAAAGATGATTATCAGTATGAAGAGGTAATTTACTGAATTGATTATCTTCTGATATATGTGGTAGAGTATTCCTGTTTCATTCTTCTGTTTTACTTCATTGGTCACAAAAACATCCTAGGACATACGACATGAATCTCCTTTTATAAAGTGTGATGATGCTAGGCATATCTTTATTTTTCAAGAGACGATTTAGTGTCAGTTGATTTGTTATCTTTTATTTGAACGTTAAATACGTTTTTTTAAAGACAGGTATTTCTATTTAGATGTTTCAACTTATAATGAATATTTCAGTAATATAAATTCTATTTAAATATGGCAAAATATTATTTTAACAAGAGTGATATTAGTTTCAGTAGTTGTTCTGGGGGTTGAAATGGTTGTATTCTGAAAGAAAGATGTGTAAAGTATGTTGATATCTAACTTTAAATCCATGAATTTAGGTTCCAGCAGATGATGAATTTAGTCTTCAGGAAGATGATGAGGATCTGTCAAAGGCTTTGCAAGCCATTCAAGAACAGGCTGAAGATGCCCACATTTTAGTAAGAACTTCCTAAACATTCTACGACTCATTCTGTAATTCGTTTGGCATTAGTGGCTTAAAATGTACATATCATAATTTATTTTAATTATGAAATATTTGTGTGGAAAAGATTGTCTCTTATGTTTTAGAAGTTTCTAGGGGTAAAAAATGGAAAAGGCAACTTCTGTTTTCTGGGTTTCATCTTCCTTTAACTTTTGCTCATTTTAAGTTCCATAAACAACCTGATAGTGCAAAACCAGGTAACAAATATATAAATAGATTCTTTAAGATATATTAATGTTATTACAGTGTATTGGTATTTTAGGATTTGTTTCTTTAGCCGAGTAGACCGAATGAGAGTGTGATCCCTGACACAGTAAAGAAACTGCATCCCACAGAAGCTTGTATTTGAATACTTTGCTAAAAACGATTACTCATGTGCTGAAAATAAAGAATGGGCTGTTACACTATGTTAAATCAACATATTAATGAAATTATCAATCATCTCACATCATTAGTTTTTGACACTTCTTACATTTACAGTTTGATTTCAAACTGGTCATTTAATAGTTCAGGAGTTACACGATGGGATTGTTGTATTGCATTTTCTAAAATATGATTTACTTGAATTTACTTGTTTATAACAATCTAATGGAAAAGTGCTTTTCCTTACTGTTTTTAACATCACCGCTGTCTTGTAGCCTCATCAGTAAGCTCCAGTCATAGTACTTCTTCTGCAAAAGCAAATGATTAATAATGAAAAGATAAAATTATGTGATTATTAACATCACAATGGAAGAAAGTGTGCATTTTCTTCTGCATTAGTACATATCAACAGATCAGTTTGTATTTTAGATCAAACATTGAATGAAAATGGACAATACCGGAATTTTATGTGTTTTGAAACTGAATATGCCTGAGAATTAAGGGGAAGATGGTAGAAGGTTTTAAGACAGAATGTGCTTAAAGTTAACCAAGTAGTGGAAATTCTTAATGTTCTTTAGGGATAACTGAAGTTATGTCTGTTTTACTGTGTGAGTTGACATTCAAATAAAAAGTGAAACAAGGAAGAATATTTTCAATCTATTGATCTTTTGACAGTGCTATATTTAAATAATCTTTTTCCTTTTTATTGATTTGTTGAACTTTGAGTGGTAGGAAACAATATGCTAGTATCTATTTCATTTAATCAAAGTGAAGAAAGTGTTATCTTTCCTTAAAATGAAAGAACAACATGTGTGCATAAACACAAACTCTCTTTGATTTTGTGCTTATGGTAATAGATGTCTGCCTTCTGGCTTCTTGACTCGTTATTTGGGGGCCTCATTTTTTCCATAAAATTGAAACTGAAATAATGTTTTTCAGCCTTTAGACAGAAAGACATGAATAGAAAAATGTTTTAATACACTTGCTAGTTCCTTGACAGCTTTCATAACGATTTACTGTGTATTTTGTGAGGCTCAGTGACTAGATTGTTTGATGCTAATTCACTGGAAAAAACAAGTGCTGCAGCAAATGCTTTTGGTGGCCCAAGTTAGAAGCACTGTTTCCTGTAAATTAATATTGAATCAATATCCAAACTCTGAGCTAAGAAGTACAGTAGAAAGCTGTTGTCTTCACGTGATAAATAATTGGTATACTCTTTCAATTATTAGCTCCTAATCTTGGCTAAAATAGATTAAATTAGCTAACAACCGTATTCTGCAATCGCTGCTCTGATAAACAGTTCTAAGAGATTGTGTGTATTCGCTGTTCATAGTAACTTGTGTACCTAATCCCATATTAAAGATTCCATTTCAATACTAGACGCAAATCTTTTTGTTAAAGAAATTACATAGAGAAGGCACAGATGAAGTGAGCACCCCAAAATACTTAAGTGGTTTGCCAAATGCAGATGCTATAAATATCCACAGTTTCTAAATTGAGTAACTACAGTTTCTTTTATGCTCTGTTAAAAAGGTCAAGTATAACCAGGAAAATCTAAGAAAAATGCTTGTTTTCAAATTTCCTTCCAAAGTAATTAGCACTAATTACTAAATGAAGAAGAGCAAACATAAGCAAATGAGAGACGGTGCTATTCACGTTTAAAAAAATCAGTGTGTAGGATTTAAAGCTATGTTTTTACAGGGGATATGGAGACATATTTTCTTTTCTTCTGGTTCTCTGCATGTGTGTAGTGAAATCACTGGCTTTTAAGGATCTTGGTGAGGCTCCCTCAACAGTTACAGTTCATGTTTCAGTTCAGATCCCACCAAGGAAATGAGGGCGATGGAACTCTAGTCTCTAAATATTGTTTCCGCCTAGCCTGGTGGTGAAATGGCAGCTGAATCAAAATACAGCTGTGCTGGGCAGCACATGCCTGGGATAGTGGTGATTCTGCCCGCTGTTCCTGTTCTAGTCATCATTTGTCCTTTTCAGTCACAACTGATCATTTGTTTTCTGTTGTCCTTGTTTTGAGACATTGTAAAGTAATATAAATAATTTTTAAACACAAGTAACTGAATATTTTTGCATATGAATCTTCAGCTGGTAGGGACCCTAGGAAAATATATACAGAATTTCTGGAAAACCACACACACAAAAGAAAGTTGGCTGAAATACTTTCTTCAGTACTTACAATTATTACTCTTCCATTCCAGGATCTTTATTTTTGTAATATCCCGGATGATACTCTGAAGTCACGTTGCCCTTTGTTACCCTTATATTTTATCTGGGTTTGATTTATAATTTGTTTGATCATGTTAAAAATCTTTTAATTCCCTTTATTTTTCTTTTTTAGTTTAGTAGTAAGTTTTACAAGAACATCTCATTTAATTTTCCAGAGAAATTATTAATATATTTGGTGTTAATCTTTCTTAATTGGACAGAAATTTTTGTGAGTGTTGTGCAAGTCCTTAAGGTGAAGCTCTTAGCAATTATTTTATTTTACTGGCCATATTTGCAATCCTTACACTCAGAATGTTTTAAAGCTTTTAATTAAAAAATAAATATTTAACCAAGAAATACTTAACAAAGCAAATATTTTGCTTGTTTATTTTGATTTAATGGTCAGAATCCTTTAATAAGATGTTTTTGTCTGTATAGCTTCTCTAGGGTGTGTGTACCACGTTAATAGATTGTATCTTCCTCATTTCTAAATAGGTAAATATATAAAAAAAATTAGCTGTGCCATTCTGTGGGTAGTCATCCAAGGTTAAGATTAAAGAAAGTTGTTAGCCTAGTATCACTCACAAAGTCTGCGGAAGAGCTAGGAATTTAATTCTGGTTTCCTGAGGCCCTGTTCCAATACTGTGCCTGTTAGACTACATTCATTTTTCCCTGTATTGTTCCCTGCTCGAGCTTCGGTTCCTGAAATGATTCTCAGTGCTAGTATCTAGCTAATAAATTCTCTTCTGCACAGATGAAATGAATTCCTATCATATTTCCCGTTATTAAGGGAATCAAGCTGTGTCATTTCTTCTGAAGACCGGCTTTATAGATGTGTTTGGGAAACTACAGGCAACAATATTACACATTTGCCTCAGAATAAAGAAAGAAAAGAAGCAAGAAAAGGGATGCAGCTGCATGTCTGCAGATGTACTCTGGTTCTTGTATTACCACAATTAGAAGATAGACCTGTCCGATGTACTGTATCTGTAGTAATAAAATATGCTAACTATTACATTGCACTTGGCATATTGTATTATTCATAATACAGTGTTGCATGGCCTTGATCGTACATGTACAATTCTTCCTGTTTATATTAGGTAGATTGCTTGGATTAAACACAACATTATCTGTATTATACAAAATGGCTAGGATATTTTTCCAGTGTTTTTATTTTATCAAGAGAAACGCCTTTATCTCCAGGTAATTTATGCAGTCATGTTGATAGAGCTCCCACTAAGGACATGAATAAGCCATAAATGAATGGAGTTATCAAAAATCCCTGGCCTACAGATTCTTTTTTAAATGCATGGAGGAAATAATTTGCAGTCACAGCCTTTAACATGACTTGATGAATATCTCACTGGATTTTTTTTTTCCATTTTGTTACTATTGAAATGAAGAAAAGAAGGAAGGACGTGTGGAAGCTGTTTCTGCTTCTCATCTCTTTTCTGCAGTGGTGTGGGGGTTTTGTTGGATTTTTTTGTTGTTGTTTTATGTTGCTATGTTGCTTGATTTTGTTTGTTCTGTGTTTTTCTTTTCTTTTTTTTTTTTTTTTTTTTTTTAAACAATATGTGGCACAAGTTATCACAGAATCTGAGTTTCCTTCAAGTGATAGTTGTCAAGCCTGGGTTTGTTCTGTCATCCTCTCACCAGGAGGCAGGCGTGTGCAGTGCGGTACCTTGTCTTAGATAGTAGCCTGTATTGTCAGGCAGGTCCTTTGTAGCATTGTGCCCTCGTGGAGTTCCCAAATGAGGAGACCCTTGTATGGTAAGTTGCTATCATCTGAAGTCTGAATTCAGGCCACCTCTTTGGCTGCCAAGTTATTGCAGTCTCTCTTACCTGGGTATCTTTAAATGCATTTTGTAGGGTGGGGGGGGTAGTCTCAGACTGGGTCATATTTTCCTTTTTCATACCTCCTTGCATCTTGAAATCTCTAGGAAGCTGAATATCAAGCTGTGGGCTGAGTGGGCTGAATGGGGTTGGGTGAAGGAAGGAAATTTGCATTCCAACAGAAAGCTGTGAAAGGGATTTTTTTTTTTTTTTTTTTTTTTCCCCTCTGCAGTAGGATTGCTCTGTTTTGTTTTGATTCTGCTTTTAGCAACTGTGTTTGACCCATGAGATGATCTTATCTGAATAGCTGTCTATCCTGAGGGAGCTGGAGGAGCTGCCTGTGAAGCTTCGGTGTACCATCTGCATTCTGCTAGCACAGTGTTGTCTGGCAGCTTCATTCAGTGTCTGCATATGGATGTTGAGAAGAAAAGGGAGAATTGATCTTTGTGAGACTTCCTAAGAGGTCTGATGACGGAGATGCAGTTCTTCCAGGCTCTCCGTTACATGCATCGTTACAAAAAGAATATAAGGCATTTTACTGTCACCTTGAACTTCTGCATTTTTCATTAGATGAAGTACTGTTTTTTCTCATCAGTAGTTTTTTAAGATTGCCGAAGGGTGCAGGACTGTGAGAACTAACACTTTTCTCTCTGGTCAGTGGCAGAAGATCATCTATCAGTTTAAACAGTTTCAAGTCCATGTCAGATTATGGCAAGTTCAGAATACTTGCTTAAATTGGGTGATTTTTGAGCTACTTCTCTATAGCCCTTCACAGACCTTGACATTAGAAGGATCAGTGACTACAGATCTGATCAATCCAGCTGTACTTCAGCGGATCTGTGACTTTAGATGACTTCAGAAATAGAAGGTATAGTAATTACAGTTCTCTTGTAGGTTTAATAACAATTATCAAATTTTTATTTCAGGCTTTGCAATCAGTTCTGACTTCTGAGAAATCGGTATCTGAAATACCTGAAGCAATGGATGACTTCTTCTGCAATTTCCTCGTCAGATTGGGAATGTCCAGAACCCTTAACTGCTTCCAAACGGAATGGTAAAATATTTTAAGTCACCATGTTACTTTGAGAATTAGGAAGTAGATGCTCAGAATTCAGATGTTTCCAGTATTTCAGGACACATTTCCAGAAAACTCTACTGAGGGCAACTAATTCCTAAGTACATAGTGCTTTACCAAATAAATACATTCATGGTGAGAATGAGGATGCAAACTATTGTTTTAAGGACAGACTACCAAGGATGCTGACTCCAGCTACCTTTGGAAAGACTGTATGCATTTCACCCAACGCTAGACATTTATGAGCCTGAAGTGGTCGCCTCTTTTGTGACCACTGAAGAGAAATACTCAGTTTCAGGATGCAACTCATCTGAGTTGTTTAAGCCATCTCCTTTAAGATGATACAAATTTCAATACTTTTTTAAAGTATAGTCTGCTCTCCACTGACTACCAACAAAAACTAAATCCAGCTAGAGCGCAGAAGGCATCACTGGATCAAATTAGTACAATGCAAAATGATCAGCATTTCATTTCAGCAATGCTGAGAAATCTTGGGGTTTTGTTATTTTCTTGCTTTCCGGAACATGGGTGCCTGCTAAAAAACTGAGTATTTTGTAGTAGTCTGTAGTATTTGCACCTTAATTGTTTGGATGGGTTTGGGTATTCATCATAGCTACCTTACATTTTAAGTAGAATAATCAACATTTTTGGTACTTGGTAATTTTTGATACATCAGTCAAAATAATATGGTTGGTTTGGTGTTTTCCTTTTCAAGTGTAATTCATCTAGTAAACAGAAGAGTAAATTCTTGAGCTCTTGCTGTCTTCTTTTCCCCAGCTTTTATAGATTGCAGGGATTTTGTCCATACTTTGTGCAGAAGTTTAAACATGCAGCTTTGTCTATATTCCCCAATTCCTCCACTACTCTCTTCATATATGGAATCCCACAGGATGTATACTTTTAAAATATTGATTAAGAACGATGTGATAGGAATGCTGCAAAGCTTGAGGGGAGAGCTGAATTATTTTGGAGCAAAAGATGACACTTGTAATACTTTCAGTTACGAGCTTGCTTTGAATCTACAAGTTAACTTAGAAAGATTGTGAGAAATATAAACACCTCTTTTTGAATTATCTTGTAGTCTCTAAACGTGAGAGGTTCAGACTTTTTTTTAATAAGGTCTTTTGAAATTGTTTAGTTTGAAAATTAGTAAATTTGAAAAGTTAGAAACATCTTATTTTTCCCCTGCAAAAGCCTTGAAGCTTTTAAGTTTTCTTAGAAACATTCTCTAATGGAGAATCATTACTGTAATTTGCAAGGCTCTGGTCTTATTAGCATAGAGCTCACCAATTGGGTGTTGCCTTTGGAATTAATAATGATCCACTTTTTGATAGCATAACAATGCAACTTAAATGATTCCTTAGAGAAGGAGCGCTATAGTTCTGTAATCTTTTTCAACAAAAGAATTGATATGAATAGAATTAATTCTGAGGTTTAACAGGTTTTATACTAAAAGAGAATTAATACTAGACAGATATAAATAGTGACCTTTTTAAGAAGCTCCAGCTTTCTTTGAAGCACTTAGAGTCTGAATTCATACCAATGGCAAAATTCAAATTGCTTTTTAACAGAGCAAGTGCAGGTCTTAGCAGGTCCTATCTTGTAAATCCTTAGCTATACATACATTTTTTTTTCTCTATAAGTAATATTTTTAATTTCAGTAGCATTACAAATGAGCTCAGCATGTTAGGATCTAATCTTACTGTATTGAGACTTTTGCTGCTTTAATACCTTATTTCAAAATGTTTCATGTTGGTTTGAATTGGATAATTTACAATATTAATGAAAGTGAGAGCAGATTAGTGTACTCAGGCTCCTCATTATGTATTGGGACGACACTCTCGTTCTCATGCTGTGGTGATCAAGTACTAATGGAATTTAAAATGAGAAATTAATTAACGTAGAGAAAATTTATCAAAAGGCTTGCTTTGAAATAATTGTCTGTCTGAGATCTAAAGGTCACTTAAATTGGACCAAATTATCTGTGTTTATTTCAGAGTTTGAGAAAACATTCTGTTATTCTGTCCAGCTATATAAAAGTCCATAATTTGATTATGGCTTATTTTAATCCAAACCCACTCTTTTTCTGTGATGTAATTAATAATTTTATCACACTTGTAGTGATCTTTTTGCTTACATGTTTTTTTGCACATATACTTTTTTCTTCCAGTTATACTTTAAGGGACTTAAAATTAGACTTAAATTATTTTTAGAATATCTAATTTACCATTAAATTTTCTATTCCTTTGATATACAAGACTTTATATTGCTTTTGTTGCTTATTGAAGATACTTGATTGACAGCTTTGGAGTATGAAGTGCAAGGCCTGATCAACTGTAAATTCATGCATCTGACAGTCTATACCTCCTAATCCCAAAGAGCTCACTGCTGCTGGCAGCATGCTGAGAGTATGATGAGCAGATGAATTATTTGCTGTTCTCACATATGCGTGGAGCTATCACTGTGATTGGTTAGTACACTCGCTGGACTGGTAATCTCTGACTAAGTGTTCCTAGAGACCTGGCAGTGTTTCAGCTTGTGAGTAAAAGGAGAGCTGCAGACTAATTACAGAAACATGATTTGAAAATTCTTTTCTGTTTGATGTGGTTAAAATTATGAATACATTTACGTGACCAAGCACAGTTAAAAGCTATGTCTCTCTTGTGTATGCCTTGCAAAGGTTGCCTGGGTTGTGCATAACGGAGCATACACAACAATGCTACTATAACTTCTCTGAGCATAAAGGTTGACTTGTTACAAAAAAACTCCTTTTTGCAGAATCAAGAAAATGGATATAGGTTGTGAGCCTCCATGTCACACCTCCCTGAAGACAGTGGAAACAATTCACTTCGTTCAGGCAGATCTAAGTTTCCTCTGCTCTGTGTTCTGTTTGGCTTGGAAATCACATGGTCACGTTAATGTACGTTGTGCTTTGAGTTCATAAATCCTGAGAGAAATGAGGGTTATCAGTTCCAGGGCAGCATCACACTAAAACAGATCCGGTTTTTGGATTAGAACGGGTTCAGAACACAAATGAGGTAACCTTATGTTTTGATTTGCAAAAAGCCATGAGGACATACCTACTTTCTTGCCTACATAACAGGCATAAAATGATAATAGAAATGTTCCCCTTACATGCCATAGTAGATTGGGGGAGTACACTAGGGCAAGAAGGTGCTTTGTTCTGTGCTCATTTTTTTCTTGCCTTCTACTGAAACTGTTTAAGAGGTTATCAGTTGGAGTGATAATTTTCAGTAGCAAGTTCTTGTAAAAGCTAAAACTTGAAATTTTAATCCCCGAATGCATCTGTACGTGAGTTATCCCTTGGTAAAGGATTATCCTCAGCTACATATCAGATAGTTCATTGCAGGGCCTCTCTGCAACTTGATTCCTTTAGAACTTACAGAAACTTGAGTTCAGTGTAATGTATATACTAATAATATATTATTTGTAGTCAGTCTGCACTGGGCTTTGATCATAAAATCATAGTTGAGCATCTGTTCCGTATATTTCCAGATTCTTGGTTAATTTTAAACAGCTATTCAAAAATAGTAACTCAGTTGTTCTGAAGAGTTTAGAAAAATACCTGTGTGTGCATGGAACTAACTAATTTATTTTGCATCACAGTTCCCTTCTCTAATGGAAAGTGAGAACAGTAGCTATTTGGCAGTCGGCTAGGTGTGTAGGAATTCTGTAAGTTTTACAGGGTGATGAAAGATAATGAGATTTCACGACGCAATTCTGTTGTTTGGTTTTCTATTCCATTTCTGCTACATGCACAGAAAGCCTTCATTTTTAGTAGTGTTCTTAGACAAAGGCATAGTGAATTTATTGGCATTAATTGTATTTCATTAAAATTGTCTTTCAGACTTCTTAGCTCTGCTGGAGGCTAAGTTCATCAGTTATCCATCTCTGATGTCTTTGTTCAGAAATTTTACGGTTTTCATGAGGTACATCTGCAATGAGAAGTGCCCTCATTTGCAGTATTTCCAATAGGAACTGTACCTGCTTATCAGTCAATGTTTGTTTAAAAAAACCAAAAAACCTACTTTCTTAGTATTAAAGTCTGTTGCTACTGTAATTTAGTTAAGAAAACGAAGTGATGATAGAATGAATTTTGCTTTGGACATAGTCAGTTTAACTTTTCAAAAACCTTTCATCTACTGGTGGTGAATGTGACAGCTTAATTCATATGGATGGGCATTCCTACAAGTATCCACAGAGAGCAGGTAAGTAGCTGACCATGGGAAGTCATTTGGACATAAGAGTTTCTAACATTCTTAATTTTTTTGGAGGATGTTAAGTATAAGTTGCTTATCAAGTAAGAATCCCTTATTTTACAAACACCTTTTGTTTCTGCAACATGTTTTACTAATCTAGGAATGCTGTACTTACTGTCTTCAAGTTTCAAATCTGCTGTTTGTGTCCAAGTCCAGGAGACAGCATTTAGTATAATTTTAATCTCTCATTACTGCTATTCTTTTCATACTTCCTTATTACTTGGAAAAGAAGTAATGCACAGATTCAATATATTTTTTCACCTGAAAAGGCAAATAATGTTCATATTACTCTTTCTAGTGTGTTCCCACCCAGAACACCTTCCAGCAGCAGTCAGGATCAGCAGGGAAATAAGATTGTGAGGCTATAGTCTTTATCTTATATAAATAATTTATAGCTCCACTGAACCTGTGCTGAACTGATATCATGGACAGAGTAGTGCACAATGTCTTTGTCTTCAGAGCGAGTCTGTAAAAGTTCGTACCGACTGAAGATCTTGCTCTTCTGTCTTCCAGGACAGAAGCAGATGAAGAAATAGGTGTTTTATTCATATATGTACTGGATTCTGGAATCACCTCTGCAATGTCTGCTTCCACAGAAGCATCTTATGCTCGTATAAGTAGACTTGAATCTTGATGTCTTTTGAAATATATTGACAAATAGCGATAGCTTATAATGGTTCCTTGAACAAGCATGATGCTGCAAAAGCGCCTATTTTGTGTAGTGACAGTCACCTTTTTTAGATCAAGTTCAGCATTTATGAATCCTTTCTTGTATCACTGCTCTACCTCTTTGCATAGAAGTTGCTCTGTATTAAAATGCCTTTAAATTAAGCCTGAAATGAGTATGCCTACGTCTTCTCTGCTGCCTATTAAGAGTATTCTTACCTTTCACTGACATCCTACCAAAAGAGGTAGTTCTAACAGATACGAGACTGACTGAGTAGACTTTATTGCCAGGGGCTGTAGAGATTCCTAGGTTGTTACACAGCATTTCATGCTGCTCCAGACTCCCTTTACTTTTGAAAATGCAAGTTAGTCTGTAGAAGTATTTGACTAAAGCAGCCTTCAGGCTCTTACATCGTGGAATTGTGTTTTCCTAGGGGCTGTAAAACAGGTAAATATTGGTAAATATATTAAGGAGAGGACAGCATAAGTAAACAAGAAGGAATGAAGACATTTCCCTAGGTGAGCTCTGTATTCTATGTTGAAGATAACCTCAATGAACTATTCTATAAGCGATCTGCAGCTTTGTCATCTTATTAGAGCCCTCAAAAAAAAGAAAAAAAAAAAGATCTTGCATATATTTGAGCATATGAGATAAAACAGACTGTGAGTATATACAAATGTTATTTGAACAATTTTTCTTTTTTTTACTCTCATTTAAGTTATTTGGAAGAAAAGAAGGAAAAGAACAAATGTTTAAATTGAAGTACTGTGTTATACAGGATGTGTCTTTTGACTATTATGAACAGTAATACATTTTAGAATGAAAAGCAGTAAAATAGAACACAGTGCGGTGGGATAGTACTGTTGCTAATTATCATAAATGCCTTGAGATGCTAAATATATTTGTGATTCTGGTTTAGGTAAATGCTAGCATAAGAAGGGAGGCATCAGTAAAGTGAGGAAAAGGAGACATGGACTAAATATCTCTCTGTTTCTTTTCTACTAGGTATGAACTCATAGAGAGAGGTGTGTTCACAGCTGAAGATACTGGACTGGTTCCAGCTGCGTATACCCACAACCAGCAACTTGAGGCTGAGAATATGCGTTTGAGGAAAGATTTGGATAACTATAAACTTGCTGCAAAGTATGTTATTTGGTCTTAATGAAACTCATATGCAGTAGTAAATGGCCAGATAAAGTAAACCCAAGTATTTAATGGAATTAATAAGTTCTGTTTGTTATTCTGGCTGTACGTATTTTTACATCTAGGTGACATTTATAATTAAAATTCAGATTTCACTGAGCTTTATTAGGAACCTAAATCTTAATTTCTTTTATTTGTATTTACTGGGCTATAGAAAATAGTTTTCAATATCTAGTAATCACAAAAAATTAGTATGAATAATCATGAGAGTATAGTAAGTAGAACTAAAAAATAAATGGTTATGTGCATTTTTTTATTAAAATACAGTACTATAAATTACATCTACTACAAAACATCAACAGAGGAAAAAAATCACTCTACATTTATTCTTAATTTTTTTAATTGCAAAAAAATATGTCACTGTGGCCCTAGTGGTAAATGGTATGTCAGTGCAAATTGCCATCATTGAGTATACTCACGTACATTGCAGTAGCTGATTTCACAAGTCAGTTGTACTTTGGTCATAAGAGTTAAAGTATTTAGTCTATATAATGGAGAGATGCAGTAATGAACTACATGTAAGATAGCCTTTTCTGAAGAATGGTACGTCTGCACATGTGTGTGTTCACTGAGAATTTACCCTGAGACCTAATAATGCGCTCACTTCGGTTTTGCCAGTGCATAGTTTTAAAATATGGAGCTGTAAAAAAATATTAATTCCATCTCTTCGATTTTCCTCAAGATTGCCCAAGCTACTAATTTTCGTTTAGATTGTTCCTTTCTGTGAAAAATAGCTACTCAGATCTTAAATAATCATTGCTGCTGCTGATAATGATGATCAAATTATTTTCCAATGATAATGATTTATTACATTTTAAATTAATAAATTAATTTGCTGTAGTCTAATAGTTGAGTAAATAGCTTTAATAATCAAGTCAAATATTGTGTAGTCTAAATATACTGTTGCATTGGGAGATGGGCCATATAGAAAACATTCTTTTATTTTAATCTGCAGCTTCTTTGGACAATGGATAGGGATTGTATGTCTCATTGGAGTGGGAGGGTAAGAAGCAGTAATGCATATTAAAAGAAGGAAAGACAAAATTCTGAAATTTATTATTGTCAGTAGTAATTCTAACCAGGCTTTCCTTTCTTCCCCCCCACACCTTTTCTCTTTCTTTTTTCCCCCCCCTTGTATGAAGCAGAACATGTTCAATAAAATAACCTGAGTGGATTATGACTTGCTAAGGGTTTTCCTGGGTTTGTTGCATTGCTACAGGATTGTTTAAGAACATAAAGTTCAAAACCATGTCACCGTGGTCATGAATGAGTTGGGGTTTTCCCATAAGTATTCTTACATCCTCTATTGGGTGCCAGAAAATTTTTTTTATAGCAGATGCCTAGTTAAAAGGCTGAAAGATGACATGATAATGTGCAACAGGAAGAAAGCAGGGGAGGGAGAAGACATTGCCAATGTGCTAGGTTCTTACAGGCTATCTGTTAAATAAAACTCCCAATGCTCACTTCAGTGAACTGTGCTAAAAAAATAAATAAATCCATGAACTGAAACTGTGCCTAGCTTTTTCACATTCTAATGTTTGATGAAACCCAAAATCGCAATGCTGTGGTGGTAAACAAGTGAGTCATGTCACCTGTTTGGTATTCCAGAGAGGGCAGTGAGGTATAGGGCAATTCCAGGTTCACAAATTAGAAGTGGGTAAATTCTGTTCATTGGCGTTTACTGCACTTACTCTGTATGTACCTTGTTAAAACATTATTAAAATTAGTCCTTCTTTCTCCTCTTGCAGGAAGAGCTTTGTTTTCATAGTCTTTCCGCTAATGTTAGACTGGAGTATATGTAGATGTGAAATAGTTTGTCCTAATGTTTACTACTTAATTTTTCAACCTTTTTATTTCAAATAACTTTCAAAGTTTTCATTGATACTAATGTTAAAAGTTCAGCGCTTCTGTGACATTCGTACTACTTCTTTTGTTTGGAATAATTTATTAATTAAACCAGTACTGTTTTTGGAATAAAGGGTGAAATTGAGCATTTCTGCTGTATGTACCATGAGTTACAGTGTTCCTTTATGTCTTTTGGATCGCAATACTCTGTACTAAATCCTTTTACTGTAGTGACTGTTACCAGCATTTTTTCTTGTTCATACATTCAATAACTGGAGTCAGTATCCTTGCTATGATAAAGCAAATATTCTAGCAGGAGCCAAAATTACCTGGAGAACAATTTGAGTTTTCAAGTATAGAGAGAGAATTTACCAGCTTACACTGAAAAAAAAAAAAAAAAGTGTAAGAGCACTAAAAAAATGCTGATTTGACTGGTCAGAAACCAAGGATTTGTGAGCAAAGAAAGTTTCATATTCTGCTCTGTGGATTAGTCAGAAAACTTTAATTGTGAGATACAGTGCTGTGAAGTGTATTTCAAGTAAGCTTGTAATTACATTTGGTATTTCTCAGCTTGGTACTCTTGACAGCCATCTTGCAGAAAAGAGATGTTATTTGGGACTTAGGCAGTATGGGGGCCCAGGATAAATGACTGTAAACTGATTACCTCCTGCTCTAATGTTGTTTTGCAATTGGTGGAAGAGATTCAGTGTCTAGAATCTAGCTGCAGTTGTATTTTGGGTATTTTAATATAGTATTTGCATGATTGTATGGCAAGCAGGTGGGCAAATAGAGTAGGCTGCAGGCTGTTGGTTACATTTCACTGTGGTGTTTCATTATTTAAAGAGAAAATCACAATCAGCTTTACTTCCTGTATACAACAAGTATGTATTTTTAATAGGCTGCCCAACGTCTGAAGGCATCTTGAGATGCAACAAGATCCCTGAATGCATACATTAAAAGAAATAAATACCAGCATAATTCTTTTACTCCAAAGCTAGTGATAGTTATTACCTTAAGGTTTAGATCTGCTACTAATCTTCTAAAAACAGACATTGTGTTGTGATAGAAATCAAAACTAATTTGACGTTGGTTAGCCATGTGACAGTAGTTAAAGTATACCTTAAGTGTACTTCCTTTCTCTCTTACCTTGAAGGCTACAGTTGAGCCCTGATTGATTGGTGAGGGGTGGTGTTATCTGCTGCAATATTTCTTTAGTGGAAGCATAGATATTCTTCCCAATATGCAAGAAAAATTTGAAAATAAGATCTCTGACAATTAACTCTTATAGGAGACTAGTTAATTTTAATTCATTGTTTTCAGTGATAATTTGTCATTCAAGCATTTAATATTCTAGTAATATTTACTTGAATAATAGATTGTAATTTCATAGCAGCATTAAACTCTGCCTATCTGATGATTTAAAATACCTTGAATCCTACATATTTTGGTGTTTTCCTTATGGCCAGACCTTTTGTATTGCCTTTGTATTTAAACATGTAGGTAGACAACATAATGGTATATCAGATTTAAGACTGTATTAATCACAGGGACTGCTAACTGTGGTATTTCTGAGTTCTTTAAACATTTAGGAGTTTATTAGAGAGATGGAATGGAAGCTGTGTACAGCTTTTGTCTGAGGATTGTAACTGAGTTCTCAAACATCAGTTAGGAACTTTAAACGTTTGCGGGTATCTTTCTGTCGTGATTTTTGGAAGCATGCTCACAAATATTCGCCCAGTTTATAGCTGCAGTAACAGTCAAAATATAAAGCAATCCTGGGAATCATATTTATTATTAGTGTTAGTGCTATCACCAGCAATAAAATCCTCAGCTGATCTCCTATTTCTGTGCCAAAATCTAACCATTCCTGCACATATTTCTCCCCTTACACCATGGAAACAATAAAGTGTGCACTTTTTGTATCGTGCACCATATTTAAATGTATCTGTTTAATTATGTGGTACATTTAGCATTTGTGCTGCTAAATGCTATATAGAGTAAAAGCATGAGAGTATATATTTTCTAAAACTGTTTTTATTTTGATTAAAATTTTAGGGCTACATCTTGCAGCATCGCGGGGAATAAAGTCCCACCTGTATTCAGTGGGAACAGGGCACGTAATTCACCTTTGAAAATACCTGCTTGGATTTATTGCACCCTGTCCTCTTCTGCTATTTTTATGAAACTACTTGCTTCAGAAAAGTTTAAATGGGGAGACCTGCAGTCTTTGACATATATCTTAACCAAAAGAAATGGATATTGGCTTTGCTCTGGCTGTAGCAACATCTTTTACTTTCAGAACAAGCCATCTGCTTAGCTCTGAAGGGGCAGGTTTTATATTCAAGATCTTATGGCAAGTCAGATTTTGAGTGGTGTCATGATGGAATTGTTTCACACAGCTATCCTGAGACCACTGATTCATTTACCTCTCAAATGTTTTGCTGTTCATAGGAGCTTGAGCAGAATCATTAATCTGTGCTTTGTATCCCATACCAATATCCTAAGTTACTCTGTTCCCCAACTTCTGGTGTTCGTCCACATGCATACACAAAGCTGTGTGCATGCCCACAGCTCCTTTGAGCTCTTCACAGTGTTATTGCAGGGAAGCCCTGCCTGTTTTCATTTCCCTGCCAGCTTTTTCTCAGCTTTGAATGTATATATAGTGGCATTAATTCACCGTGCTCTTCTTCAGGTCTTTCTAACTATTCCTGCTACAAGCAACAATTCGCATAGAAATGTGCACATATAAATATGGTAGTTTGTATAGGTAATAAATATAGCAAATGCATATATTGTAAATATAATTTTTTTGTACCATTAAACATAATGCACTGGTGTGTATGGGTCGTCCTCCTGGACCTGTGACTTTACCATACTCCACTGTCATAGTGGTTTTCCTAACTCTTCAACTCTTTTTGGAGAGAAAATGAGCTTTATTTTTGCAAAGAGCAAATAGCTAATTTGTGCGCAAGGTAATTTCAAACTTCTTTTCCAATTAATTCATCTGCTAATCTTTCCTGCCAGACCAATATCAGTAAAGGCAAGGAGAAAATGTACGGAATATATATGGAGTATTGTCTTTTATATTTATGGATCAGAGTATCTCATCGTGTCCCATGGCTGTGTGTAGAATGTGCTTAGAGGATAACAGGTTATCAGTATGTTGGTAATTAATTTTGAAACGGATTCCTTTTGCTTCCTGCTGTCACAGACAGGGGCCACTTGGGGACTGTCACATACAGGGGACACTTGGGGACAGGCTGCAAACATGATTGAATAGAGCCTAGCACTTTTCTAGCACTCTTTTTTCCCAGAAGCTCTCTATATGGACGTATTTGTAAGGCAACAATGCGAATTATACTTCTTTGTGCGTCCTTCTAACAGGTAACATTATGTTGGGCTCTAAATGGGATGTAGATATTAGAAAATAAGTGTTGCAATATATTCTAATGTAGAATTTTAAACCCACAACAAGAGTATTGTTTTCTAATCAGCTGTAATTTGAATATGTACCTCCACAAGACCCCTTGTGCTTAAAGTAAGGTTGACCACAACTCTGAGATTTTTAATGCCAGAATCCTTATGGATTCTATCTAAACTGAGGGTAGGTGAAGTGCGCCCATGTATTTTACATCAGCTGGCAGCAAAAAGACCTTAAAAGTACCTGTTCTCCACCACAGAGCATACTACCAGAAGTTTCCAACTTGGATACAGTAGGTACATGCATATCTGAGAATTAATTCTAGAGGTATTCAGCATACCCTGATGTGCAATTAATAGGAGGAAACTTTTTTATTTTCTGTTTACATATAGCAAAGTAAAAGAGGCTTTCCTGAAAATGCAGAAAGAACGTGACTTCCATCGAATGCATCATAGGCGAGTGATCCAGGAGAAAAACAGGCTTATTTGTGACATTAAAAGGTAAAAAATTATTTTAATTACTATACATGTAGCATTGAAGATAATGTCTTCAATTATTGCCTGGTATAATGAAATAACTTTGTGGAATTTAAAGCACCTAAAGTAAGGATGACTGCAGTTAGTTAGTGGCCTGGTAAATAGCAGTTCCATCTGACCGTTCTGCCATGTCTCTTAAACAATTTCTAATTATTTTGGGGGTATATTTTCCATGGTGTGATGTGGCATTAGTAAATACGTAGTATTTCTAATAGTTGACAATATAAATGAGATTTTCTTTTACCCAGATCTGTTTCTATAAATATGTAGTGATTTCTGGGTTTAGATCCTTTGTCTATTTTAAGGGTAATTGGTATCATACCGAGTTCAGAACCTTTGCATTCGTGATTTTCATAGCTGATATTTTATGTTCTTTCACATCTTGAAATTCCTATATGAAATTTGTCATGTTGCTTCAGTTGCAAATAAGCCCAAACTAGTCCATTGACACAGAATTGCAATCATTTATTTTATAATAATTCCTTAATTTTATCATTCTGGAATTCTGGAAGTTTTCTAACAACTGTTGTGCTACTTTGCCTCCATTAGTAGAACTTAGTAGTCATTTGTCCATTTCTTGTTCACAGGCTGAAGGCACATTATGCATCATATGAACCAGTGCTGAAGCAGCTGACTGAAAAATACCAGACTATACTGAGACAGAAAATGTTAACTAGTTTGGAGAGAGACCGAGCAGTTGAGCAGGTAAAACTGTGGTGAACACTACTTGCAAAGCTGTGAGGAATGCTTTTGGGTTTTACTTCAGTAAATACACAGGATATTTCTGTTAAAGCAACTCACTTATGTGATAGTTTGAAGCAAAATATTTTAGTGCGTTTCATGATACTAGGTGAAAGTATGTGATATTGAAAGTATGTGAAACACAGTGCCTCAGAGCAGTAGTTCTCGGTCTGTGCTTGCTCAGTGCTGGTCTACACAAGTCACCAATGTGCAGACCCTGTTACGCTCTCAGTGTTGACAGCTTAAGGAAGAGTGGTATTCCCACAGATACACATGCTTCCAGCTATGCCTTTAGAAATCTCTTATTTTAACTTTCTTTATTGCTATTTATTATTTTTTTTTTCCTAAATATATTCAGGAATGACCTACTAGTTTTGGGGAAAACACATTAAGGTATCAGAGACAATTCTTCTGTCTTGTGAGTGGAATAATAGAGTAGAATTTTACTTCTGTAACCTTATCTGATGTATAGGTTGGTATACAAGGTATTCTGCCCCTTTAGCCAGAAGTAGTATAAGCGCAGTTAGGATGGATGAAGAACAGAAAATTCTTGCAGGTGTTTAACTAATAGGTTACTTGCTCAAAAAAAAAAAACGAAGGCAAAAAAGAAACAAACACCTCTCAAAATGCATTGCATTTCAACAGTAGCATCAATTATATGAGGGTGACATGAAAGGAACTTACCATGCTTGCACTCCCTTCTAATAGTCCTCATCCCTCCTTTCCTTCTTTCCTCTGCCTCCCAGTTTTTCTTGGGTCACCTGTGGGCTTACTTTCAAAAGACTGAGGATTATATGTTTGAAATTTCAATAAGTGAAAGAAAATATCCTATAGAAAAAGAAAGGTCGCTGTCCGTATACAGTTATGTTGAATCAGGATTACAAAACAGAGAACAGTTCCAGTGCTATGAATTTTCAGGAACATATGGGAGACGTACCCAGTTTTGAACTGTACACATTCTGAAGTGATGACTTCTTTGGTAACACAGAACACCATATTTTGTGGGTTTTTCTTACGACAAAGCTGTATGTCATATTGTGCCATGAAGTTAAAGATCAGTGCAGTGATAGCAGTGGCTAAAAATTGATGGTGCAGTAAGAGCCCTAGTATTCTATATGTCTGCATTGTTTTAATGGAGCTGTAAAAGTATTTTGAGAGGTTCTGGATGGCTTGTATTTTATTGCATTGTTTCACTGGGCCTTTCCAAAATTTTGAATTAGGGGCAATATTATAACTTAGAGACAATAATCAGAAAAGTAGAAAATTATAGATGGTATTTATTACTTAGATATGCAGACATAAATGCCATGTGTTGTGAACAGACAGTTAAAAAGCAGTGTTTTCATATTACCTCTTCTTTTTCTCTTCTCTTTAAAATTAGGTTACAGGTTTGCAAGCCACATTACGAAGTTTAGAGTCTGGATGCGCTATGCAGATTCCTGTCACAAAAGGTAAAATATTCCCATCACCAAACTCAGACTGGTTATGGGGTTTTTGTTGTGATGCATTTCAAGATCTGGTGTAACAGTAAATCAAAAATACTTCTCTATAAACGTTTTATCAGCTGTCCTGGTGACAGAGAAGCAATTTTATCATTTGAATATTTATTCTTAAATGTATCCACAAAGGACAGTGAGACTGCTGATGGCAATGTGGAATATGTGAGTAACTATGGAAGGACTTATCCTAGAAATCTATTTTGTGGCTGATTTTGTTATTTTATTCACTAACACTCTTCTTTTTTTTAATGTGAGTGTTCTTTCAGCTCACTCTTAAGAAGATATATATGGTGGTGTGGAAACATTTTGAAAATACTGGTGTCGTGAAATCCAATCTCTTATTTTAGCATGTCCCATTTTTACAGGAGGTTGCTAAGGTTATATAATACCTGCTGGAATAATACCTTTATCTGTATGGTACTACACTACTTCCCTGGTGTTTTGGATAAATGCATAATTATGGAATTATTTTTCTAACTCTATCAGAATAAAAACCTAGCACCTTTGGTTTCCTAAGTAAATGAAGCCCATGCTATCACATTCTTTGTGAGTATTACTCCCACTAATAATTTTGAACCTGTTTTCCAGTTGTAGCTACATTTATCAGTGAGATAAGTCTCAAAGAAACCAAGTTTTTAAGACTCCTGAAAATAGATGAGTTGATGAAAAAGGGAAACAGTGAGCTCTACCCTCTGACAACAGAGTGTTCACATGAGAAGGGGGATGCTGCACCTGTCTTAGTCATGAGCAGGACTCCAGTCAGAGATTGCAGTTTATTTGACATTAGAGAACCCCAAATTTCTCAGCCATATAGGTGACCAGGTAGCAAATATTATACAACTTCCAGGTGAAGCAGTTGTTGCAATTAGGCTGTTTTTTATATCTGTTTGTTTTGTGTTTTTTTCCAGCGACCTAAATTTCCTTTTGCACTGGTAATATACCCCACATAAAAAACCACTGAGTTACCCCAGCCTTTGACAATCAAGCTTCATTAGTTCCCACGTTCATGGAGTTACTTCCATTGCATAAAATTCCGGTAGAAGAGACAAAGCTGAGAAAAAGAATAGCAGCCACATCAATTTTTTTGGTTTCTTTGGGGATTTTTAGTTGAGTGAACAGACTAGCAAGCCCTCCCTTGCCTAGTAAGATGGCTTATTTACTATTAATGCAGACATTTCAACTACTGTCCAGATATTTCTACTGCCTGCCTATTATGAGCGTAGCACATTCAGTTTAGTTTTTTTCCTTCGAATCCTGTCTAATGTAGGTTGAGGCGGTTGGTCTCGTGGATTGTCATGAATTGATGTGAGCACTGGACTGAGATCTAGATATCTGAAAGCTGCCTCTCATCCTAGCTGAGGTCTTGGTTCCCCTGCAGCAGTGGGAGGCTTACATTGCTGAGGGAGCCCCCTGGAGCACACCCTGCTCCTTGCTACTGTTTAGTTAAGAGCATAGCTGCTTTCATTTCTGGGAGAACCTTGGGAGGATTCTGTAGTCTTAGCCAGTATAAATTAGGCAGTTATTTTATTTTGTATACAAGCAGATAGCTACTAAACCAGTAACTTCTGTAAATAAAGACTTCAGATGTGTTAACATGGTGGAATACTGAAGCAAACCTCTTCAGTGTTCACAGTATCTTTCTGGTTTGGGATTTTGATGCCTATTTTTTTTGTATGTTCCGTCTCAGCACAGCACATTTCAGGCTGCCAAAATACCTTCCTGTGGTTGTATGTACTGGATATGCTCTGCTGTAGTCTTTAAATCTTGTTACAACGAAAAGTGTAAGCCTCTGTCCCACTAGAGAGCACCGTGCTCATTTTCATCCCACTTCAGATAGGGAGGTAGAGAACAGGCTTTTTATTTTATGTTAGTTTAGGACATGCAGCATTCAACTTTTCATTATCGTCTGGCTTGAGGATATACAGTGTGGGTTCTTCCCCCATGCTAGTGTTTTACGGTATAGATGCCCCATCTGTCTCTTTTTCATATTACACATACTCTCATTTGTTGTTTGAGTGATTCTAAGAACCACTCTCTGGCTGTTCACAGTACTTGTTTATTCTCCAAAAATCTTGAGAGCACTTTATAATACCAAAAAGTGACAAGCAGGGGAGCACTTGAAAAATAATAATACAAAGGAAAAAAAGTCACTTAGTCTCCAATACAAATTATTTGGCTCATCAGCCACCCACGTGCTTGTACAAGCCTTAATTTGCTTCATACCCTGTGTATCATAAATTAAGCAGTATTTCAGTTCATTTCTTTCCAGTGTTTTGTCCTCTAGTACTATGTAACTTTTATTGCTCTGTGTAGGTCACACTCATGTTTCAGTGGGTGCTACTGTGTCTTATTCTGGTACTTTCTGCTGCCTCAGGAAAGATGGTCATGTTCTGTTGCCTCCTGAATTCTTATTCCTGAGACAGTATAAAGGCAACCTTGAGAAGCAAGCAGTGCGTGCACACTGGAGCGATGTTTGCTGCATTTTTCTCTAAATTTAAATTCTTAGTTTGGAAGGAACCAGTGCCGTTGGACTTGCAGATCTCTGCTGTAAGGAGACCGACAGGTGCATTTTTTTCAGTTGCCATCTTGTCAGGGCTGATTTTTATGCATTAGTGCATTGATATGTTTTAGTTAGAAGATAATAAACATTCAGACTGGCAAGGTAAGATGCCTTTTGCCAAGGTAAGATGCCTTTTCTGGCCAGCTGTCTGCTTTCACTGCAGTGCAGAGCACGGAGGGAGGAGAGTGGCTCTGCTGGGCAGCAGGAGATTGCTCTGCACTGCTTCTGGTGCTGCTTCTGTCCCACAGCTGCAACACCTGAATGCTGGATTTGGCTAGAGGGCACTGAGAGTGGCTTTTAAACAGTGTTGGATTTGCTGAAATGTTCGAGGTTTTGAATAGTGGCAGTGAGATCCTGCACATGCAGTGCACTGTGGGCTTGTTTTTTTTTTTTTTTTTATTTTTATTTTTTTTATTTTTTTTTTATTTTTTTTTTTATTTTTTTTGTTCGGTTTGGTTTGGCTTTTTATTGAGCGGTCATACAGTGCATTTTGAAGAGCAGAGGGAAGCTTTGTAGCCCTCGCAGTGAATTTGCATTGTAAATTTGTATCTAATGGCTAGGTAGAAAAAGATTAACAGTAATTTTAGGACAACTATTCTGGACTTACTGCGTAGGCTTTGATGTAGCTGCTTCAAGAGGATAGCATCCACAATACAGAGCATGTAATTTATTTACTAGTTTGGGGTTTTTTTTTGCTGTCCCACTGCCAGACTGCTTCTTAGCTTTGCAAACAGTGCTTTGTACATAAATCCTTCAAGAGAAAGTTCTCTTCAGAAGTCTTAAAAATGATTAGAAGTTGAAATTTTATGTCCTATTTACTTACCTTGCTTGTCTAAAGTTGATATGAAGGAAATCTAATAGTTGGAGAGGAACTAGGTAACAGTTGGGATTAGGACTCTGATTTTGTAGACTGTTTCTCTGTCCCTGCTATGCTCTCTCAGAAGCCAGCTCTGAAAGAAAAGTTGTATTTTGAGTTAAGATTATTTTTAAAAATGATTGGATGTTTTGTATAAGATTTGTATAAGTTTTGTATATGATTTTGTATAAGTTTTTGTATATGATTTTGTATAAGTATTACAAACTGGTTTTGTTTTAGTTTTAAATCTGGTCCTCCCTGATGTGGTAGTGAGGTCATGCATAGAGAGATCTAATTATCAAAGAGAAATAACTGATTTTTTAATTTAAGTTATTGGTGTATATTAACAGAGCACTGTCACCCTTACTTACGGATCAGGACACAGTATTAAGTGGTGCTCTGAAAAAAGACCACTTTTGCCTGAAGGAATTAAGCAATGTTGATTGTGGCTTGCTTATAAACCTAAGTGAACGCTGCTATAACAGCTGGTTCTAAAAACATGTTATAAAACTGTTACTTGCTCAGTACATTTCTTGTATTTTCTAAAAACAACAGCTGCTTATTTATTATCCAATTATATTCAAAAGTTGAATTCAATGAGTTTTCTTTACTCATGGTTGAATTAACTCATTGCTAAGCCTGTTAACTGTGCTTTCCCTTTCCTTGATCTAATGTAATTGCTCTTAGAAGGTCATGCAAAAAGAAATTTAAAATGCACCAGTTAAAGTACTTAAACCTTGTTGTCCCCATTCCATCTACAATATAATCAGAATAGAAAAAGTGTAAACACAAGCTGTTGACATCTTAGTGCAGTCCCACTAGTTCTTTAGAAATTGTTCTTTTTTTTTCCTAATGGTTACTGACTTTTTAAGCCTTTCAACTGTCATAACTCTGTTGGTTTATAAGTATGTGTATTTCAAAGGAACAACAAAGGAAATGCTTTGTGCGCAACATGCTAGTTGCAGTTGCTGAGTGTGTAGACGGTGTTTGACACGTAAACCAACTTTGCAGTATACAGTTCCTCAGAGAAAGGTGGTATTTAGGATATCTGTGACAGTAGCTTTAGCTTTTAAAGCAGTAAGAATACAGACATTTTGTTAGAAGAGGCACAGTTCTTTTTATCAGTTACTGTTTTAGTCAGATTGGATATCCAGGAAGGTCTTGTTTGCTTGATCCACTTTCTTTGCCTCAAGGTGGAGAGGGTGGGTTTTTTCTCTTTTAAGTCAGAAAGCTTGCATCTTGAAGTCAAGGTCCTAATAAAACTATTTTACAGGAGCAAGCATTTAGAAATGCAGTGTCAAATACTCTGGTTCAGTCTGGATTTTAGATGTATAGCGTGTCTTTCAATCTGAGATTTTTTTCAAAGAACTGGAGCGGTATAAGTACCCAAATCTTGTTGGAATTCAGTATTCCAGTCCTTCTCCTGTAGGCCCACGTACATACTGCAACAAGATACAGGGATCGCAGGGGACTGTGTTCAGATATGTGAGCTACCAAGACAAAGACTGTCAGAGAATAGTATCCTTTCTGCCAGATCATGGCAGATGCGTTGTACAATAGCCCACGTGTGCTATACTACTTCTCATATTCTTTTCAGCCTATTTTGATTTACAGCTATGCTACCTGCTTAGGATTTTTTTGCTGCGTTACCTATTCGTAAGTACTTCTATGTTTGAAATGTGCGTTGGGAGAAAATGCAGGGAAGAAAAAGGGAATGCAGGCTGTAAATCAGAATAACGAATTGGTGGTAGATATTGGATAGGATGATGTTTCTTCTGGCTCTGAGGCAAAAGAGGAATTGCGTCCATTTTACTGGGACTCTCCTGTCCTGCAAGACTCAAAATCATTGCTGCATTTTGGGGGCAAAATTTAGGGTACCATTAGGTAAGGTAAAATAGAGCTCATGAAAATAATTTGTAGAGCAGAGTTGTATGTAGTCTTAGAATACTTTATATGGAAGGCGCAATATCCTGAATATCTTTATAAAAAGCTGTGTTTCTTTTAGAATTTCACGTGTCTAGCTAATATTAAGTAAAGAGATATCTTCCAGAAGAGTAAGTAAAAAATGCATTTTGATGCTATAGTTGTTGGTTTTATTTTATAGCAGGCCACGAAATTAAAAGGAAGAAAAGATTGGAAGGTCCCACCCAGAAAGCTCTTCAGGAAGCCAGGCAGCAAAAATTCCTTGATGCTGGAAGTTCTTCATATAATCCCACCAAAGATGCAAAGAAGATAAGCAAGACATATCCAAAGGTATGCAGCATTCTTTCCAGTTTTTCAGTATATAATCTAAAGTACACTTTAAACTTTTACTAAGCTGTAATGAAAGATACTCGTCCAACATGACTGAAAGAAGTAATACTTAGTAAATAAGACAGGTAGGTAACAAGTTTTTCATTTTTAATATGAGTTTCTATTGCAATTAATTTTTCAGGGAATAATACAAACTGATTAGTTGAAGCTAGCAGGCTACCATTTTGAGAGTCTGTTGTAATTACTCTGCAGAGGAAGAGCACAGGCTATATAAATATTTGTTCTGCTGTATTTGTTTTGTAGCTATAGAAATCCTGACCTATTCTGTAGTGTTTGCAAACTTTTCAAGCGTTGCAACTTGTTTGTTTCAGCTGGGTCTAAAAGGTATAAGGGAGACTAAGGGCAAAAGCTTGGTGGTTTCTTAATAGTCACTGAAAATATCTAAACTTGAGTATACCAAAGGTGTGTTGCTGTTTCAGTTTGGAAGTTGTGTAAAATCAAAATTAATTCCTGATTGATTTTTTTTTTTTTTTAATTGTTGAAATGAATTTGTTTTCTTTACTTTATTCTACTTGGTTTATTTATTGAGATTGCATTTTGGGGACTACATAACAGTGCTTTTTATTTTTCCAGAGCAAGGTAAACATTCTAATAGCTAAGATTTCTTAAGCTCCTTAAACTGCTTTACTGGCCTATTTTCATTTGAGAACCACAGTTAGAGTTTAAACTGTGTTTTTTGAGGGAAAAAAAAAAGAAAAAAAAGCTTTAGTTGACATTGATGGAGTCAGAATCAGCTTCAGTCTTTCCTTTCCCTGTCTTCACAAGAATATGTCCAAGGTGATTTATGTTTTTTTTGTGTTTCTATCTGGCTTTGCAAGGGCATTTCTTCTGTCTGACACTGGCGACGCACCTCTCCTCTGACAAACACACCATTTTATTTCTGTTTTCATCCCTTTTCTTTATTCGGAACCTTCAAATTAAAAAAAAAAAAAATTGCTTTCTGAAATGCTTCTCACCACATATTGGAAATAATTCTCTGTACTGTCTCCCCACCTATTACCACCCGAATATTACTGAGGCACCTGGCAGTCAGTCCATCTCTACTTTTCCTGGTTTTCATTCAGTGATTAGAAACTTCCATCTTTGACTCTTACTGGTATCTTTTATTTTCATTTTGACTTGTGAACCAATAAGTATTTCTTGGCTTGTGGAATCTTATTTTTTGTTCCTGGTTCTACTGAAGTCATCAGGTTTTTTATAGTAAACTTCAGTGGAGTTATGCTTCACCTCTAGAATATATAAACTCTACACAGGTAGTATGCCTGTCTGGCTCTTTCTTGTTCTTTGAAATTCATGAGTGCTGTTAGTTGACTGGTTCTGGCAAGCATCTGTGTTTCTGCAGATCTTATGTTTCCCAAATGAGTCCTACCACAGGCCCAGATGTCTTTATTTAATCAATGGATTAGAAGACTGGAGTGGCTCCTGAAACAAGACATCAGAAAATATGGACATGTTTGAATGCACTAGATTTTACCATAGCTAAGCAATAATCTAAAACTTTTGTCGGCGACTAACATCTTTTCCAACAATAGACCAATACCTTTTCTTCACTTCACATTTCCTGGATCTATTTTTTCTAAATATTTTCTTTTTCCTAACAAGGGATACTACCTTAGATACCACATATGAATTGTGTTAATTCATAGTCTGTTAGAAACAAATAGCAGAGGGAATTATGAGTCTGTAGAGGGTGAAGGGATGAGTTAAAATTGTGTTTCAAAGATACTCACAGAACTTTGCCTCATAGTGCACATTTATTGAACCTACAGTTCTAATCTAAGTTATTTTCTTAAAATAGTGCATTTTTACTGGACAGTTTAGTTGTCTGAGTGTTTGTTTCAGTCAAAAGGATTAGGTATAAATGAGTGCCTTGCCTTTCTTAGAGCATTTTCTGTGATACTTGGAATCAAACTTGTGTGGTGTCTCATCTCCTTTGACCTATATCGAAAGATCTTTTAAATTCTACTGTGTCTTATGTGACTTACATTCTTTGTTACAATGATTCACCATGTCAGTGTCTTCACTGAAGAGTGTACCATAAATGATAGTCTTGTTCTCATTTACAGTAATGGAAATAGCTCTTTAAATGTTTCTTGGGGGTGGGGGGTAAAATTGATTTACATGCATTCAGATTAAGATTGCACTTCATTTAAATTTTCATTAATACCACAAAGGAAGTAAGAGTCAAAGCATAAATTGTTCAGTTCCATGGCATTCAGGTGAGGAATATACAGAAGAAATAAATGCAATTAAAGATCTTGTATTCAAACAGTGCATTTATGACAAAATAGTGTAAAAGAAAATAGAAAATTACAGGAAATTTATGTAAAATATTTTTTATCTGTCAAATATTTTTTATCTGTCTTCAGTAGACGTAAGTGAACATTTAAAGTTCATGAAAGTTCAGAGTGAACAGTTTATCCAATTTTAAAATTTAGGCATTTGGATTATATCACGCTCAGTAAAAAGCAAATACATTGTCATGAAATTGTATCCTTGAGACAAATTATAAATGTTTGTATTAACTGTACTGTTACATAGGAGTGAAGTATGGTGATGAAAATGATTTAAAATCTTTTCTGTATCTTGCAGCTAAATAGTGATCTAACAAATGCTTGTGCTTTTAAGTAGATGCAAATATGACTCATAGCTGCGCTAGAACATTTACTTCAAGGACAGACATATATTGTGTTATTGTAATATCCTGTAAAAGCTAACATGAAATTTAAAACCTACGGTCCCTTTGATACGAAGTTTATCACTGAAACAGTAAAAAAGCAACTGGAATTTTTCTGAGAGAGAACGTATTCTCTTGATTTTAAAGTCTTTGTTACCAGACTCAATTAAATTATACAGTAACAGGCAATTAGGCTAAACTGTTTACATATCTAGCCCTTAATAGGCCAGTATCAATAGCATTAAATATTCTTAGATTAAGAATGTGAATAGAGTACTGCTTTAAACTTTTAAATTAATTAAAATGCACTCACAGGTCATTAAAAGTGTGGAGAACCTTTGATAATGTGATTTTCATTATCCTGTTGAAATATACTTTTCCTATTTTTATATTTTTATTCTCTCAGATTCCTCACACAGTACATTCTGTATTTGATTGCTTTTATTAGTTATTAGCAGGGCAGTTGCAACTTCTTTATGTTCTGTAAATACTATTTCCACATATAATGTACGACAAGGCAGTTTCATTTTCTGAAATATTATTTGGTGTAAAACTTTATCAAAATGTGCACTGGACGTTTCTGGAGTTAACGCATTATCTGTTTCTGTGGAACAGATTTTGAAAATAAGGCCAGTGATATATTAAAAATCTTACAGAAGTAAAATCCAGTGATGATACAGACATAGCTTTTTGTAATCAACAAGTCTTTGGGTCGAAATATCTCATACATGTATGAATATTTCCCAAGTTTCTCCTCAATTCTATGGAAGAAAGCATACAAAATTTAGAAGAGCTACAGTTTCTGTGCTCTCAAACAGAAGAGAAGGTAAAACCAGATGATTACTTAATCAGACTGTTGAGCTTGAATACAAATTAGCACAGCCACATTGGAACAGAATTGGAAAGATGTCCCAAAATAGTTAGGAAGGTTTGCAAATGAAATAGGCAATCATTTTGTGTTTGTAGTATGGTTAGTAAGAAAGCACTGCTTTGATATTTGGTAGAGGACTGACAGATAATACTGGGAATATTTATTTCTACAGTCCTTCACTGGTATAATAAAACTCTGGACAGATAGCTATGAAAGTACCAGTTACAAAGATAAAGGATTGCAGTCTAGAGAAGAGAAAATATAACATCCGTATTTCAAATGAGATAAAAAGTAAAAGCTAAGAAATTATAGACTAGACAGTGTAACTTAAATTCCCAAGGAAATCTGGAATGAATACATGAAATTTTACTGAACATCTGGAAGAAACCAGGAAAAGAAGTGATAGTGGATTTGCAAGGAAGAAGTGCTTCAATCCAGTCTAAATTGTGTCAATAACAGGATGTGAGGCCTCATGAATAGAAGAGGAGCAGTAAATGTTGTAACTTATTCTCAAGATATGAGAGCTCTTAAGTGTTTTATAAGGCTTTGGATATAGTCTCACAGATCATTCTTATTAGCAGCTGTGGAAATCTGGCCTGACAGAAATTTTCCTAAATTAACGGAAAACAGATTGGAAACATGCAAATATTGATTAGGCTTTTGCTGGGATATGTCGTTAGTAATGATCTGGGAAAATGGAACAGAAAATATGCTGACTAGGTTTGTGGACCAAGTGAACTGGGTTTGGTGGGGATGGAACAGCAAGTTCAGTTGAGGACAGAAGTACAATTCAAAACTTGACCTGTTGGAGAACTGATCTAAAGAAATAACATGCAGTGTAAGAAAAGGTACAAAACTCTACCTTTAAAAAAGTGATAAACCATGCAAATACAGAAGAAGAAGATAAGAAAGAGTCAATCAAATAGCTTTTATTTAGAATAGGCTCTAGGGTTTGTTGTATAAAACAAGTTTAGCATGAGTCAGCAATAACATAATATTGCAGAATAGCTCAAAACCACACTGCAGTATAAACCAGGAATATTGTATGGAGGATGTGGAATATTCGTCTTTGTTCAGTTGGCATGTAGCTTTGGCTGCAGAATTGTGTTGTGTTTGCTCACAGCTCTTCAGGAGACAAGTGGAGCATCTACAGTAGAGCAATAAGAATGATCAGAAGTCCATGAAACCTAACTGTCAAAGCAGAGGTGACAACTGAAATTGCATAGTGTACAGAAAAGAACACTAAGAGGAGGCAGGATACATCCTTAAAATCTGAAAGAATTCTGTTAAAAAAACCAAAGCCAACAAAACAACCTGTTAGTACAAGAAATAATAAAATAGAAATCCAATAAGAATGATTCAGATGACATCTTGCACAATTTATGGTTGTAA